ATAATTTTTTTTTAAAAAATTAACCCCCCCCCCCCCCCCCCCCACCCACTCACAAAAAAGGAAGAAAGGAAATTTTTGCGTTGATGTCAGCAGGGTTGTACTATCCTTGTAATCCCGGCTCAAAAAGAGGTCTTGAGTAGAGACGATCCAAAATGTGTTGAGATTAAAAAAAGAATAAAACAGCAGACTTTGAGTGTTTGGGATGTTATTAACTTGATTTTCCATTACAGAGGATTGTTAGTTGTAGTTGCTTATCTGAACTTTTCTCTATACAGTGTTCTTAAGATGGTACTTCGGTTTATCCAAATATTTGTCTGCAATAATTTTTACACTCCAATAATATTTATCAGGAAAATTTAATTTCTACTTAATAATGGTTGAATGTTTTGATTTATGCACTTAGTTATACAGTGGTTACTTTCATGACTCCTCGATATCGATGCTCTGCTTCTTTTTTGTGATCAAGTGGTGTTTCGTTAATTTTGAGTTTACGGTTACACTTTTAGCATGTTACAAATTTATTATACTTTCAATAGTTAAAGTTTGACATGTGCTTTGAGTGTGTCGGTGGCTAGTCTATGCAATGAATGCTTTCACTGTGAAGTCTTAATGGCATCTCTAATCAGTTTCTTCTTTCTTTATTTCCTTGTGAAATGTCTGTGAAACTGGTGTGAACTTGATTCACATTTATGGAACGATGAAAATCATAATTTTATAAGGTCTTTTGGAATATTTTCCGTTAGTGGTGTTTCTCTTGTGGTCATAAGAATATCGTGGACTGTCCTAATTAAAGAAATCAATATATACATTGGTCGTGCAGTTTTCAGGTTAATTTATCCTGGAGTGTTAATTTTTTATGTTTCTATTCATACTGAAGCAACTTCTTTCTTTACCTGTGATGTAAATGGTGTGCAGCCTGCTTTTTTCCCCCTTTCATGTGGCAGCATGCTCGTATTGATTAGGAAGTATTAACGCAGGCTTGCCAAGTGAAGCCTTTTGTTTTGAATATCCCTAACGCTTTCTTCTATGGACAGAAAGTTCGTACATTTCAAGACTTCCGTGACATGACACCGGATGAACGTGCTGATCTGCTGACTCAAGTTGCTGGGTTCTCCAATGGTGAATCCCACGATGTGGAGATGGTTCTTGAAATGATGCCTTCCGTGACAATTGATATCACATGTGAGACTGAAGGTGAGGAGGGAATTCAAGAGGGTGACATTGTTACCATGCATACTTGGGTCACTCTTAACCGTGGTAGTGGCTTGATACGCGCCCTTCCACATTGTCCGTATTTTCCTTTTGACAAAGAGGAGAATTTCTGGCTGATGCTTGCGGACTCCTTTTCGAATGATGTGTGGCTCTCCCAGAAGGTTAGTTTCATGGATGAAGCTACATCGATAATTGCTGTATCGAAAACGATTCAGGAGTCAAAGGAAGGGTCTGGTGCAAGTGCAAGGGAAATAAATGTTGCCGTTAAAGAAGCAATTGAGAAAGTGAAAAATGGTTCAAGACTGGTAATGGGAAAGTTCCAAGCTCCAGCTGAAGGGAACTACAACTTGAGCTCTTTCTGCTTATGTGACTCTTGGATTGGTTGTGATGCAAAGTCGAATATAAAGTTAAAGGTTATGAAACGTAGCAGAGCTGGAACGAGAGGTGGTTTCGCAGCAGATGAGACTCCTGCCATGGAGGATGGAATTGAGGAGGACGAGGAAGAAGAAGAAGAAGATTTCGATGATTATGAAAGTGAATACAGCGAAGATGAAGAAGATACAAAGAGTAAAGGAGCTGTTGCCAACGGCTCTGCCCATAACAAGGGCAACAGTTCAGGCTCTGATGAATCTGGTTCAGAAGCCGACTAACTTCCTTTCTTGGCTAGTTGTTTGTTCTCCCAATTTCCCCGTTCACATGATGTTCCAATTTCCAGGGGAGAAGAGAAGACGAAACCAGTGAGAAAACATCCTCTCACTCCAAATGTTTGGGGAGCTCTGGGGTCGTGGAGAGGCAGGTAAGAAAAGAGTATTTAATAGTTTTTTTGCTTCTTTCCTTTTACATACTTTGGACCGTCTTTCTACCGTTGATATACTTAGAACAGTTAATACTGTAATTTGACATGAATAATAGCATTGTACTCTTTATAGAGCTTAAATTAGTCCTTTTTGGTCCGACTATAGAGGTTCTTGTCGTTATGACATTCATTTTTGCCTTGTTTGTACCTCAAATTCTTTATCCCCTCCCAAAAAGAATTGTCAATTGAAGACAATCTTCTACCTCACTTTCTGTGGTTAAAACTTCAATCCACAAATGACATCTATGGCTTCTAGTTTAAATGCATTAATAGTCAATTTACAGGTCTGCACTTACTAGTCAATCAATTGGTTTTTTAGCTATCTATATGTTTATATAGTATGTGTCAAGAACAAAGGCTGTCAAGGATTTACTTTGATTTGAATGTAAACTAAAATAAGTGGGTTTTTCACTCACATTTTTCGTACTTTGGTCTCGTTATCTCACTAGCTATATTGCGTTGGTGTTCAATGTACTGCTTTAATAAACTGGCTGGGTATATCTGCTAAAAAAAAGAAAATATCAGAAGGCTCCTTTTATCGGCTTAAAAGTTAGTTAAATCTACTTTTAAGTCATTTTTAGCTTTTGAGAGTGTTTGGAAATGTTAAAAATAACTTTGAAATGATTTTAAAAAAGTAAAGAAATCAAAAGTAGGATTCTCTCTACTTTTTAATTTTTTGACTTAAAAAGTCATTTAAGTTGGACTTTTTATTTATTTTTTGATTCAAAAGTTATTTTTTTAAGCCAATTTAAACCGACTCTAAGAATGTTAGTATAATAGCTCAGCACACTGAAATGCAAAAATAAAATAAAATCAATGCCAAGTCATAGTGACAACTAGGTCGTTTGGATTTCATGATAAATGGAGTTCGACAATAATTTCTCAAAATATTCATGAGTTAATACACATCGAAAGCTTTAATATACTGAAATTCTCATTTTAGGACCCAAAATCCAAAATAAATAAATTATTGTCTTAAAATATCCATGAGCTAATACATATCGAAAACTCTGATATACTGGAATTCTCAGGACCCCAAAATGGCAAAAAAAGTTACGCTAGTCAAAGAGAAGCCTCGGTAGTTTGTGATGGACCCTATGAATTTAAAATAAAAAAAGGTTCAGCAACAATTCCTCAAAATATTCATCTAATACACACGCAAAAAAAAAAACTTTTATAATTATGAATTCGTGTTTCAAAGTCCCCAAAACCCGCAAAAAAAAATAAAAGCAAATTTAATCATGGCGATATCTAGACCCTCCTAATTTTAGAAAACTCATGTGTTAATATGTATCGAAGATCTTAATAATCATGAATTCATGTTTCAAGACCTTGAAACGTGAAAAATTAAATAAAAGATACACCAATCATGGAAAAGAATAATCATTTTTCTTTTTCTTTTTGACACAATCAAGCTAAAATAGAGCATACTATCCAGACTTTGCAGAAGTTAACTGAGTCTATTTTAAGGGTAGCCTGCTTTACAAAACATCCCGCGTTAGCAGTATGATGTGACAACCTATCTTAATGCAAGTATTAATGATTGCTTCTAAACCCCTAACTTTTAGGTCATACTAAGACAACTTTACTGTTGCTCAACGACTCCCCTTCAATTGATTCTTAGTTTAAATTGAACTTAAAACATTACCAATTTCAAAAAAAAATAAAAAATTCATATATTTAAGCGTAGAAATGAAGATCTTCCGTTTACGTATACTAGTAGTATACCAAAAAGTATAGAATCTACAATATAATATGATTCTCTATTGAATCTCTGACCTGTATTCAACAAAAGTCTAGCCAAATAATCATCAATAAAAGATTAAACACACACACACAGCAAATATAACTTATTATGGTGCTAGAGACTTTGGTAGCTGGTCCAAAAGTCACCTTTATTTTTGCAATTTAATTTGATTATTGGGTCAATAACATACAAAAAACATAATCTACTTCACCAAATGGTCAGTATCCCTTACAATTTCCAGTGAAGGAAGCACTATTGCAGCCACTGGCTGATCTTCAAATCCACCACCTTGATCTATTACCAGTCTGAGGCCTTCAATATGTAATTTTGCATGGTGGCCACTTACGATAATCGTTGGAGTTTTAGTCAGTTCCTATTAACAAAATAATGCAACAACAATCAAATTTAGTTGGAGAATCGGTTTAGCATGATCTTCTTAGAAAGCATAGGACATGATATAATGAATAGCGTCAAACTATGTTGCTCAGATTCTTCAAAAATGTTGTTGCACCTGTATCGGATACTTTTGGAGGATATGACATGCACCAATGGAACTTTTGAAGAGTCCATGCAACATAGACTAGTAGTCACAATGAAAATTTTGTAAATGAAGCACTAAAGAGAAGTGACCTGAGGGATTTCCCATACGTCCTTCCTTCCACTAAGGGCGGCAACTTTAGGAATCCTCGTGTCCTTTGCTTTCAAGGTTTTAATCTGCTGTTCAACAGGTTTGTTTTTCTCCAAGCCAGCATGAACAGCAATTAGTTTGCACCTTTTAATTCCTTCCTCAGTTTTTATGGTAACATCGTCCTAGAAAGCAAAAGAATGAGACAAACTTTTAAAATCTTGAATCCTGCTAGTGTTGCATGTTGGCTATGCAATGACATGATCAATATAAGAGCACTCTTGAGTTCATTTATAAAGCATAAATCAAACTTAAAGCATCTTTTCTAGATAAGCACTTTACTTAAAGTTCCCGTGGAAAAGTGAAGGAGCGGATCAAATGAAGAAAAAAGTTGAAAACGGAAGAGTGATAAAGGCAAAAGAGCATTACCTCTTCGTGGATCCAAACCAAATTGGCAAGGAATTTCTTGTGCTCATCAGTAACTACCTTCATAAGATCTGTAAAGAGTAAAACCTTACTGTTAAAAGAAGGATTATAAAGTGATCATGTAATATTGCAATAGGCAGAATTAAGAATTCTCATAGTTTTTTTTTGGTAAAAGGTAATAGAACATGGCGCAACTTCAACTTACCGATGACATGACCTTAGACAGGAGATTATGGAAGATACGGATTAGGGTATAAGGTTAGTAGGTAGTCTCACACTCTCACTTATCCTTTCATACTAGTGGTCGTAGTATTACTCTTGTAGGTTCTTGTTCCTTTGATTTCTATTACTATATATTGTCCCTTGTAATTTGTTTATCATATTTTTTTATTTTTTTTATAAAGTTAAAGTTGATTTGTTTATCATATTATTTTGTTGTAGTTACTGTTCCTTATTTAGTATGCTTTGTCATGCCTTGTGTAGTATTTTTTTAAAAAACTTGGTAAGGTTGTATTATATCACAAAACAGTACATACCCATGTACTGAAACTTTATATACAAATGGCCCCAATTCTTAATGCTCTATGGCACCTTGTGTAGTATTTTATTTTGGTTTCTTCCCTCCTATTATTTTCTTGAGCCAAGGGTCTTTCAGAAACAACCTCTCCACCTTCCAAGGTAGGGGTAAGGTCTGCATATACACTACCCTCACGGGAAGCCCCCATGTGGGACTAAACTGGGTATATTGTTGTAATAGAACTCAAGAATGACTATCAGCAAAAGTTCCCTGGAGGTCCACCCAACGCCATATGAAAAAAGGGACAATCTTGAGCATGACAGGAAGGAACAGCGCCTATATTACATGAGCATTCCTACTCAACAAGAGCTGCATTTCACACTACACCCCTATTTTTGAATTTGAGGAAAACAAAAAATTTCTACACATTCTTTATGATATGAACAACTATAGAACACATTACAATGATAAACAAGAGAAACCAGACAAAACTTGAATAAAACAGAGTGATCACCGCACCCAAGGGTGTGGCAAGTGTTCAATGAAGTGGGTTGAGCACCAGGAGGTCTCAGGTTCAAATCCCAGCAAAGACAAAACACTAGGTGATTTCTTCCCATCTATTCTAGCCTTGGTGGACAGAGTTATCCGCCTTGGTGGATAGAGTTACGTAGTACCTATTGCTGGTGGGAGGTGGCAGGTATCCCATTGAATTAGTTGAGGTGCACAAAAGCTAGCATGGACACCACAATTATCAAAAAAATTGAGTGATCACCACCCAAATCGGAATAGAACGTTATGATAGTCAATCAATCAATAACTGACATATGCTGCAATCCCAACTTAGAGTCAAGTCATATTACTCCTATGTATTCATTGTGCTCAATAAAAACTCATTTCATTCCCGATACTAGATGATTTGTCTTATAAAGTAAATTAGTAGTTCTCTGAAATTAGAGGGTTTCTAAATCTCACACTTATTTCTACATGGACATATAAGTGTAACTATGATAAGAACTAAGAAGCCTCCCGGAAAATATCAAACCTAATGGAGAGGATAGAGTGTACACAAACCTAACACCTACCTCGTGGAGATAGAGTGGCTATTTTTGATAGAACCTCGGCTTAGAAAGCATAGCAAAACAGTTCAGAAAAGGGAATACAGAGAAAAAAGCAGTAACAACAACTAAATAATGTGAAAAGGAGAGTAGTACACAAATTACAGGAGAAAGAACAATAGCGACATGCGATAACCAAAGCACAAAAATGCACAGGTGATAATTGAAATCAAAGGACTAGAAATTAAGAAAATAGTGCTAATATTATTGATAAACAAGTAAGTGAGATAACTCTCAAACAACCAACTAACCTTCTATCCTAATCACCAAACTCTCCTATCTAAGGTAATGTCCTTCGTAAGCACCAGCTGAGAGAGAAGCTCAACTTACCAACTAAGCTTCTATCCTAATCCGCAACCAACAAAAAATAATAATCAAGGAATCATACCAGCAGAACCATGAGGAACACCATAAGACTCAAAAGTAGGAGCAGCATCATAAATAGATCCTTTATAATCAATACCCTTTACAGCATTAAACTTAACAGTATGATTCCCAGCCCACCTCCTCCCTTGCAAATGCATATTCTCAAAGCTTTCACCTTTATACCACCCTTCTCTTTCCTCATTCATCTCATACTCTTTCCATGTCTCACAAAATTCAGACCCATCAGGTGGACTTGGAAGTACACCCAAGAATGCCCCAAATGCAAAATCATGATTCCCACAAAGGAAAACATGGGATTGTTTTGGGTATTTTGATGGCAAAGAAATGAGAAAGTCTAGAACTTTACTAGTTTCTGGACCTCTATCACAGTAATCACCCAAGAAAATGACAAGGGCAGTCTCAAAATCAGATGGGTTAATGCAAGATTCAAGATTTGACCATAGATTTTGGAGTTTTGTTATGTAGCCATGGATATCACCTATACAACAGACCACCCTGGGTTTTGTGGGGTGTGGGTTATTGTCCTCCATTGTTTTGATGTTTTTGTGTATATAAAAATGGGAGGATGGAGATGCTTGATTAATTTTTTCACTGATTTTTTTTGGTTGAATTTGCTATATTTTACAAATTTAGAGGACTAAAATTGCTTAGGCAATACTTAAGGGACTATTGTGAACGTACAACCAAAAATTAAGTACCATTTTTGCCATTTTCTCAAAAAATATAGCATATGCTGAATGCAAATTCATCGGTGAAAAAAATTCAAATCAAATTATCCGGAGTGCCATTTGACTTATTTTTTAAATCAAAAGAGAGAATGTACACCCTACACCGTCAAATATTTTTTTTTATAACAATTTATGATTATTCAGATAAAAAACACAAATACAAAATATGTGAGTAGTCCGTATCACTAGTTGAAAGTTGAAACTGTCTCAAACAAAAGCATGTAATAACTAGATTGTTGAGAAGCATGAATGTATTAGTCTATAATTGATGATAATGCATGAAAGTTCCTAGTCAACTCAATAAGTTGGTAAAAATTGAAGGGACACTCACACCATCCACCTCCTAGTAACAAATTAATTTTAAAAAAGGGGGTTAAATTTAACAAAATGTTTTCATATTGTTACAATGTATAAAGTAAAAATAATTTGATATAACCAATACAAATAATTCAACCATAATCATGAATTCTTTCAAGTAAAGCATAGGAAATGTTAGAGAAAATGGAGATGATGCAAAAACAAAAAGGCAAAGTGCATGAAGAATAATTAAATTTGGAAAGAAAAAAGAGAGAGAAAAAGAACTCTTACCATTGTCATTTACCAAAGTTGCAAACAATACAACAACGACAAATCCAGTATAATCCCACAGGTATGATCTTGGAAGACTGGAGAGTAGTATGTAAGCAAACTTTACCCCTACCTTGTGGAGGTAAAGATATTGTTTCTCATAGACCGTCGATCAAGGAAAACAATTAAAAACAATTATAGAAAAAAGAAATTATTAAAGTTCATGACAAATATTAGGGAAAACATTAGATAGCATTCTGAAAGAAAGGAACACTAACAACAAAGTTGCTAACAATATGTTCAGAAAATCCACAAGTTCACAAGAAACCATAACTTGTACACTTCTGCTTCCACAGATACATGTTTGGACTAACTTGGCATGTAATATTACATGCTCTTAAAGAATGGTTTATGCAAGCAATCACTCAGATTATCTTACTCTTGAAGTATTTCAAGTTTTCTTCCACTCGAGCAGCATCTGAATCAGCTAGCTCCTTCAACTCCTTCAGGGATTGAAACTCAGCTTCCACTTTATCAAGAACACTAGACTTCTTAAAGCACCTCTTCGCCAAACTCAGTTTTTGCTCCTCGATTGCTTTGATCTTTGTCTGTGCATCCTTCATTTTTGCCACCAGCTTGCTGATTTGGATGTCAAGCGTGCCCCTGCAGTCTTTTAGGTCAGTATAGAGTTCCTGATCTTTTATGAGCTCGTCAACGAGGCGCGTTTTCTTGGCAGCCTTGCTAAAATACTCCTCTTTGTCCTTCATAACTCTACGCAACGTCAAGGAAAAGTGCGGAAGGTTCTCTTTGAGTTTCTCCAAGGCAAGCGCTCTCTCAGCTGATACATCTGGTGCTGCAGCATATATTGATAGTGCTGCACTTAATGCTAAACAGTTTTCTGGTAGAAGCATGTTTTCAGAAGGCATATTTAGTACTCTCTCAATATCACCTTTCGCTGTGGCAAGCATCTCCGCCGATGGTGTAGGCTTCTGCGTGGCGGATATCTTGTCATTAGAAGATTGATCAGCAGAAAAACCAAGAGATTGAGCTCGTTTAATTTGTCCACTAACTCGAGCAAAGAAGTCTTCAAGATTTTCAACTTTTATAGGGCAGTCGGGTGTTTCAACAGCATCAGATGTCTTGCTTCTGGTATTAGCTAATGATGGGGAAATTGTGCCTTCCACACCCTCCTGAGAGAAAAAGCTCTCAAAATGATGGGGTGATCAAACATAATGACACGAGTAATAAGGGATAACATACTTTGTCAAAAGTGGAGATTGGTGCATCATCAGAAGCAACCTGATTCTCTGCTCTAGTCTTGTCTTCATTAGCAGGAGTAGAAGTTGTGCCTTTTGGCAGCATTTTCATTGAGTAAGTCTTCCCATTCTGAAAAGTCAAGCAATGGTGAAGTGAAGGAATCACGCTAATTGATCCTGTTATAATCTCAGAGGGTCGTTTGAGGGATGGGAATTTTTACCAAGCATAATGTTCTCATACATATCTTTTCACTTACCTCATGCGAGTTCATTTGTTGTACGCGCTTATCTTGCCGTGCCAAAGATTGCGACGGAATACTTTCCCCTGAAAGAAATTAAGGCATGAATAAGGAGCAATACAAGACATCAAAATCAGAAACAGAAACCAGACAGAAAGGACAAGTATCAGAGAGAACATTGAAAGCCATCACAAAATCCAATGCAAAGGTATATGAAAGAATCAGAGAGAACATTGAAAGCTATCACAAAATCCAATGCAATGGTATATGCAATAATCACCAATGAGCCAAACTCATTTTGACAGCTCTATCTAGGGATATACCAGCAAAATAGAAATCTTATAATTTGTTCCATCAAGAAGGATATCATACCTTCATATCCCCTCTTCATATTCTGGCCAAATGTTCTTCTAGCAGATAGTAAGCACCTCAGGGAAAAACCTGCAGATTTGAACACGTAATTTGACTTCTTTAAACTATTAAAATCACTATATTCTAGGTAAAAGCAAGGAAACATATGCTGAAAGCTGTTTAACGAAGACTGAATTCAATCATCTACTCACAAATTTGAATACCTCATAATCTGTTCTCACATTAAGCAATCTACTATATTGTATGCTTTCAAACAAGTTCCTTGTTATTGGTTGTTGCTCTAAACCAGTGTTTTAAAAGGCGGGACGTTTTACTGTACGGGGCGAGGCGTAAGCCCCGAGACACGGGGAGTAAATCCATGGATCTACGGGGGGTAGTCTCATGTATATTCAATTTTATAGTTTTATTACTAATAAAATAAGCAAAAGTAAACCTTTCAATGATTTTACACATAAATTTTTATAAATAACCTATAATATATAGAAATTATATTTATTTGAGATAAGTATTAATAATCAATAATGAATAAAAAAAGTATTATAATTACTATTTGAGAAATATCATTACACCAATAATAAAAAATATGATTTAAAGCAAAAAAGGTTAAAAAAAAAATTAAAAATGCCTAGGCCTACGTTTTTTACGCCCAAGACTTACATTTTTATGCTCGAGGCTTACGCCTCAAATTTTAGAACTTACGTCTTATGGATCTACGTCTTTAATTTACGCCCAGGAGCGTTTTTGGTACGCCCCGCCCCGAGATTCGCCCCAAAAACGTTTTTGAAATCACTGCTCTAAACCATTTGTATAATCCTGAAACTTAGTAGGAGATAAATGAATTCAGCCCGGTTACTTCATTTCTCTAGGAATCTCCATCCATTTAATTCTTATTAAAAGGCTACTCCACTGTCCCAAATGCATCTAGAAATGTGGACACTCAAGGTTGGAACATCATTTTCAGAAGACAAGTCAATGACTCGGAAGTACAAAAAGTGGTTGATTTCTTTAGCACACTTGCGCAGTTTAGTGGGCTAGAAATAGGGGAAGATGTTTTTGGTGGTTAGGCAACAACAAAGGATTATTCAAGGTTAATACAACTTACAAAATGATTAATCTGCCTAATCAACGAATAGCTAATTGTCCATGGAAACAAATCTAAAAAACAAAAATACCACACTAATGGAGAGTACTATTAGAAGAAGAATAAAAGAGATAAAACAACTTACCCCAATGAGTGAGTAGAAGCTTCTTTAGGGTTTACCTCACAAATAAAATTGCTTGTGAGCACTTTTTCACGGTATATATATTCAAAAGTGACGAAAATGGGCCGGGCCCAGCAAGCACGATCCGGATATAGTCATCCTCCAATGCGGGTATCCAACATCAAGTTTCTCTTCATTAAATTGTGCTAAAAAATAAATTGTACATATTTGTAATATTTTCACTTCTACATCCCAACTTGTTGAAGCTACCAAAATCTATTGATATTTTCCTAAACCGAAACCATTATTGAATACAAGACACATATCTTGTATTACTTAATTAGGTGTAAACATCAAGTGCAGTTTTTACCTTCTTTGTAGTATGCCTAACATGTTTTTTCTTTTTTACTTTCCTTATACCAAAGCAAATACTAAAGAAAGTAACCACCTTCTTACTTATGTACTTACACGTGTTACAACGTCACATCAATAAACTTTTCTTTAAGTACCACATAGAACAATGAATTATTATTTTTAAATGAGTTTTCTATCAGAGATTAATAATTTAAATGTACTATATATATGGGGCAATTTTCCAACAAATTTGACCAAAAAGATTTGTGAACAAATAAGAATCTAAGAAAAACAATTAAAGGGATACTAAATTAAATGTTGATACGCTCTTTCCTTTTATTTTATTTTAAAACCAATAATTTGAATAGTTGTTCCTGTTAGAAAGTGGAATAATAGTATCAGGATTAGTTATCCCGGGATAAAATACTTTTTTTGACAAAGGTAACAATTTTGTATATAAATCTTCAACACTAAGGCTAGGATCCCAAGAATTTACATCACAGAGCTACATACAAATGAGTAGGCTCAACAATCCAAAAAAGAAAACCTATCTCTAGGTCTTGTTTCATCTTACAAGGATCCTAAGATGTCTACAGCTGCTATAGGATCATCTATATACTCCAAACAATACCAATAGCAAAAAGTGATCAAACAATTCATTTCACTTTCAAAACATCTTGAATTTCTCTCCTTCCAAATGGTCCACCATATCACTATTAGGACAATTCTCCATATGTTTTTGTCTATGCCACCACTCCATCTCATTGTTCTAGCTTACTAGAGCCTGCTCTGCCCTTTCAGGCATAGTTCACCTTATGCCTCTGAAACTAGTAAACAGGTTCCATAGTTGGCTAACCACTTCACAGTGTAGATACAGATGGTTGATTGTCTCTGCCTTTTGCTCACAAAAATAGCATCTTGGACACATTGTATGCCCCTCTTCATGAGGTTTTCTTGAGTTAGAGCAGCCTCTTTCACTACCATCCAAGCGAAGGCTACCACTTTGTAAGGAATTTTCACTTTCCATATAAGCTTCCTCGGTAAGAAACTGATTCGAGACCGCATTTTATTCAAATTCTTATAAGCAGAGCTAACTATGAAAAAGCCTTTGTTATGGCATTTCCATCCAGGAGTATCTTCTCCTTCCTTTGGTCCTGTATACTGATCTAAGGTGCCATAAAATTCCGCCAGTCTTTCCACCTCCCAGCCTTGCATCAGTCTTCTATATGTCAGGTTTCACCCTTGAGGAGTCCATATTTTTTGCAGAGTAGACTTTTGTTGCTGATTTAGTAGAAAAATATCCGGAAAAAGTTGCTTGAGACTGCCATCTCCTATCAAATCATTTTCCCAGAACATGATCTTCCTTTCACTATTTACATTAAAGCTTGTTCTTTCAAAGAAAATATGCCGTAAGTTTTTGATTAACCTCCACAGACTGCTACCGTAAGCAAAAATTACTTCTTTAGTCTACCAAAAATCTTCCTTCTCGCCCCCAAGGCCTAGCTTGAGTGGCAAAAGGTGAAGGATTTGTGGCTTAGGTCGTAGGTTCAAGCCCCACACCATGCAAAGCGAAACCCGGTATTTAAGTGGAGAAGGGTAGAGGGGCGGGCCCGATTATCCACCGAGTTTATAAGTTTTTTATTGTTCAAAAGGGCGGGTCACAGACGGATTTCTCGGATATAATAAAAAAAAAAATCTTCCTTCTCGCCCCCCAAGGCCTAGCTTGAGTGGCAAAAAGGTGAAGGATTTGTGGCTTAGGTCGTTAGGTTTCAAGCCCCCACACCATGCAAAGCGAAACCCCGGGTATTTAAAGTTGGAGAAGGGTAGAGGGGCGGGCCCGATTATCCACCGAGTTTATAAGTTTTTTATTGTTCAAAAGGGCGGGTCACAGACGGATTTCTCGGTTATAATAAAAAAAAAAATCTTCCTTCTCATAGTTTGCTTGAATCACCCTAACCCACAGTGTCTGCTCTTCTTTAGGGAATCTCAACAGCCATTTCATAAGCAAGCTTTTGTTCTGTTTTCTCAATTTTTTTATTCCTAACCCCCCATGCTTTTTAGATAGGATTACAGTCTTCCATTCAACTAAATGAAATCTTACATACTCCTTATCTCCATTCCACAAAAAATTTGTCCTTATGGCATCAATTCATTCTTCTACTTTGGCTGGAATGGGGAAAATTGACATCAGATGAGTTGGCAAGGCATCTAAGACTAAGTTGATCAAGACTAATCTCCCCTCTCTCGAAAAATATTTTGTTTTCCATCTGGACAGTCTCTTCTCACATCTCCCCACCACTCTATTCCAAATCTCTTTGAATTTGTAAAATATTGAAATGGCATAAAGACTCCGGAGGTCCCTCAAATCCTTTTTTAAAGGGTATTTTTGTATACAAACAACTTCTTAAAAATTATGCAATGCATGTTTTTTCTTAATATAACAAACCAAACAGTCAACAAGAAATAATATCAAGATATCCCAATAAAAGTAATCTCAAAAGAACTAATCCTAACATAACTTGTCTTCAGACCAAACAACCCCTTAAAGTTGCACACTAAATTTTATTTAAATACTTGTATGTTCTGGTTGAGTACCTTAATATATGTTTTTATTAGAGATTTTTTGACATAAATTTTGTATATGTTTTTATGTGGGTTTTCACGTGCTTGTTAACCATTTAAAATATGTTATAGTTCTTGATCGAGCCTAATGTATATCATTAAAGGATGTGATATATTTTATGTGGCTAAACTTATCTATTTAATAGGCATTTGCGAACACACGTACAAATGTGCAATATGAACATTTTATCCGTTGTTCAGGTACTCGATTAGAACAAATAATAGTTTCAGTGTCTAAACAAAATTTATTGACAAGCAAGGAGTTGCTGATGAACAACAACAAACAACCTAGTGTAATCCCATTGGTAGGGTATGAGGAGGGCTATCTTTGAGAAGGTAGAGAGGTTATTTCTGATAGTTCCTTGGCTGCACGAAAAGTGAAAGAAAAATGCAGAAGCAACAAGCAGAAACAACAAGAAGATAATAATATACCGAGGCTCACGAAACAACCGGTAGTGATAGAAGTCTAAAAATAAGGAAAACATTAAGAATAATAATAATACTCTGAGAAAGGGAACGTACACCTACTAATTTTCTACCTTAATTCTAGACCTCCAGACCATCTTATCAAGGGTTAAGTCCTCGGTGAGCTGAAGACGAGATTTAATCTTCCTTTTACCGGGATTTTTAATTTATCAAATGTCAAAATAGCTTCAGAAGAATGCACTTTATTTTAAAAATTAATTAAATCAGATGACAATATAGTTATTATAAACATATATAAATATACTACAAATCATTTAAAGAATCCTACTTAGGTTAGAAAAAAACATATATTTAGAAACCTCTTTACAGTAGTTTGTCTTAAGGTAAAAAGACCTTCCTTAATTAATTCGGATAATTTTTTCCTTGCACTAGCCAAATACAAAACCAACAACATAAATAGACCCTCAGCTCAAAAGAATTGTTCATTAATCGAACACTCCTATATAACTTATGTACAATAAATGTGCATACACATCCTCTTCGGGCTATGAGAAGTAATTTTTTTCCCATGCCAGTGGTTCATCAATAGTGCTATTTTGAGGCATACATGATCTATCAACCTGTGCAACCAGAAACTATAAGTAGAAGTACACTTCTGGTTTCACTTTCCATGTTTAACTTGGCTGTACTAAGGTATGCCATTCAAAAGATAGAAAGTTAGTGCATAGCAAAAAATATTTACATGCTCTTACTAGCCAACAAATTTACATGAAGAGGTTTATGCAAGCGATCACCCAATGAAGGAGGCAATACAAGATATCAAAATCAGAAACAGAAACCAAACTGAGAAAAGGACAAGAATCAGAGAACATTGAAAGCTATCACAAAATCTAACCAATATGCAAAAATCACCAACAAGCCAAACCCATTTTGACTGTTCTATACACCAGCAAAATAGAAATCTTACAAATTGTTCCATCAAGAAGGATATCATACCTTCATATTCTGTCCAAATTGCCTTTAGTATCATTGGAACTGGGAGCAGCAACTTCTTGCCTGTCAGATGAACAGAGGACATGCAGTGAGATCTTCCTGAGGACATGGTTAGCAGTCTTGTCCCAAGTGTTGATATAAGTGAACCACCAGGAACCAAAGAACTCTATAGAGCTAGGATTAGTATCAAATGGAACACATGAAAACTTCCTTTACAATTGGCAAAACCTTGATTCAGTTTCTTCGGTGTAATCTGCAGACTGGAAATCTTTTCTTCTAATTGGAAGTTTATAGGCTAATTGATGGAAGGGGACAGCCTGAGTCATACCAAACTGTCGAGCAAGCGGATTTGGAGAATAATGGTCTACCCCATATTTGCACTTCAAAGATTCATCCAGAAGGATACTGTAAGAGAGGTCTCGAGCAATGAGATAACTGGCCCAAATGTCTTATAGCTCTGGCTTATTAAGTTTTTGGAAGTTAGGATCAAGTGACTTCTTAAACCACACAGGCCCAAACTTCCTAGAAGAAAATGGGGTGAATTGGCTGGCAGTTCTAGATGAGCATTTATGAAAGAAGAGAAAGTATTCCTTGAACAATTTAGGTCTCAACACGCCTTCAGCTGGGGGGTACCCATAGGTGGGTAAATTACGTTTATCCAAAGTCGCAGGTCGGAATTCTGGAAAGTAAACTGTAGCCAGAACTGCAAGATCCAGAATGGACCTCTTTCCTGAAGAAACCTGTCCATAATGATTTCAGTGCATCCATGATATAAATTAGACAAGAGAAAGGGTGCCAAAGCAAGCTTTCAACCCGCAGCAAGAGCAAACGCCAGTTGTTTGCATTAGTTGATCATGTTTAGAGATGAGTCACAAAACAGATGCTCGCTGAGCCACGTAAACAGAAAAGATATATGTTCTTTCTCTGTCACAACCATTTCTACCTCTACACATTGAGAAATATATGGTCGATCCAGCCATACCAAGAATGGCACTGACTTCCTTTCCATGTGGCCTAAGTCCTGTCAAGGCAACAATATCTAGTACTGTTAGCCCCATCATACAAAATCTGAAGAGGAATGAGTATGTGGAGATTGACCAATAGAACAAGGCAGCATACAGAAGAATTTTGTCCACGAGAACATAATTTTTTGACAACTGAATGGAATCATATATATCAGCTGATTCCCAGACTTCCCCTTTGGCCTTCTCAACCTATCAATCCATCTTTTAGTTACAGAAGGCCATGAATACCGATACTTGCCTCCAAACCAATCAGGTCGCACAGAGTGTGGAAGTAGCTTCTCTCCTTCAGCTAATGGGTAAAGAGGAAAGAGCTCCGGAGGAAATGTAGTCTTAAAACATGAACCTAATATAGTGATCCAGGAATAGGAACAAATGTTTTGTCAACAATCAGCTCTTTGTTCACCTTTTGCATTTTCTTGGTCAAATTTTTCCTTGACTGGGAAACTTCAGTACGTAAGCTTGCAACTTTATCTTTTGCCAGTTCTAGTTTTCTTCCGCTGGAGAAAGTTTAAGAAGAAAAAGATTGTAAACACCTCACAGAAAAACCTGCAGACAAAAATGCATAATTTGACTTCTTTCAACTATTAGAATTGTTAGCTTCTAGGCGAAAAACAACGAAACATGGGAAACATATTGTATGCTTCCAAAGAAGTTCACTTTTGTTGTCTGTTGCTCTACAACATTTGTATAATTCTGAAATTTTGTAGCAGATAAATGAATTCAGCCCTGTTACCTCATTTCTTTAGGAATGTTCACCCATTTAGTTTTTGTTAAATGGTTATTCCACTGTCCCCAAATACACTAATGGAACAAATGAAGTCTTGTGTTGATTATCCACTAACAACAACAACAACAACATATCCACGGTAATCCCACAAGTGGGTCTGGGGAGGTTGAGATTTACACAGACCTTACCCTTACCTTTGTGGGGTATAGACATTGTTTCCGCTAGACCCTCGGCTCAAAATAAGTGAAATCAAAGCAAGATTGAAAGGAAAATAACGAGACTACTAGTGAAAATTGAAGAATAAGAATACTAATAACTAACTAAACTGACCCCTTACCTTTCCCACATAAAAGTATGACAACTCTCGGCTACTTACTACCCTTCTACCCGTTGTTTAAGCCTCAGGTAACAAATATCCAGTACATATCGGTGCATAGTAACTCGGCATACTAATTCACCTAATTTTGTTAATCACTAGGTCACACCCTTAGATCAAGTTCCCTCCTTTACAACAGGAAAAGGAGAAACAGCAAGAATACAACAATAAAACTTATGCATTTGGCTATCTATACTACATTAATGAGAGAACCATTGAAATATACTAAAGGGTGATACATAAATCATGCAAAGCTCAATGTGAATTTCACCAAAAAATAAATAAATAATAACATCCTGAATCAACAACGTACATTACAGGGCTGAGTTACCATTGATGAGGTAGAAGAAGCTTTTTTAGGGTTACCCCATAGCTGAAATTGCTTGTTCTTCACAACGACAGAGCTCTTTTTTTTCTTTTTTTTTTCACAAGAGGAGTCTAAAATATTTTTAATGGTCAAAAAACACAATCATATATATTTTTAATTAATAATTAACAACTATTTATCAAAATATGATAGTTTGTGTGTATATTGTGTTTAGGTTTCCAAGAAGATAATTACATTGGAAAAAATAAATTTTTTTTAAATAAAGAGATAATGATTAAAAGACAGTTACATCTGAATATAACGGTTTTTGCGAATTTTCGACTTGAATTATATTATGTTTTCGCTTTTTACTTGAACTAGCACCAATTATTTATCAAAACATATTACGAAGCTAATGAATCAATTCACCTATAGACTAATTTTTATTAGAGGACATCAGTAGTAGCAGTAGTAATTTTACCCCAATTATTCATGAATTTCTATATTACGAATTATAGAGGAATTTTACGGCAAGTTTTTGTGTTTCTATTTTTGCCTTAATTATACATCATGTATGCATGAGATGTATTTTTGTTATTTTTTTTTTTATGATTATGTTATCATATATGTTGGATTATTCTTTTTGAAAGGAAGGGGTAAATGAAATAAAGTGAATGAGCACAATTTTCTATTTTATTGTTGTTTGTTTTTATATACGCCTGATAATCCTATTATTTTGGCATTTTGTGTTTATTATGCCGTCTAATGAATGAATACACTTGATATAGTATCCGTTAGTAGAAAATATAAATATTGAATTGGCCTACACACATGTGTTGTTGATTGAGAAAAAAATATTTACCAACTTATGAATGTGTGTTATGATTCAAAGAAAATGATAGTTTGAATAGATAAAGAGAATAATATATAGTTGTGATATGAAATTCGTTAAAAAGTATTTTCTTCGTGTATTTTTATTTATTATAATTGGACTTGACATATTAATTAAAAAAGTAATAATTGACATGATTATTTTATCATACTATCCATATTTATTAATATCTAGTAGTAGGAGTGTCAATGAGACGGTTCGGTCGGTTATTTTTAAAAAATTATATCATCCCAATATTTCAGGTATTATATAATGTATAACCAAAATTATTAAGTATTTTTTAAAACCATCCCAATCATATCGGTTTCTCTTCGGTATCGATACGGTTCAGTTAATTTTCGTTTTTTTACTTTTATAACATCACCTTAAAATATACTACTATTAAAATATTTCTTTCAAAAATATGTTCTTGAAGAAGCACTTTAATTCTTCACCAAGAAAACAAGTATGTAAAATATTGTTACCATATTGTTTGATCTTAAACATTTAATAGGAGTGTTTGGTGTTGTTCAATAGAGTATCTATTATAATATCTTTTAATTTTAAACCTAATTAAATAAAGACTAATTAAAGAGCAAAAACCCAAAATCTTGTAGTCACCAGAGGCTTAGGACCTAAGTTATATTTATATTTGAAAAATGTTATAATAAAATATATTTATATATTAAATTTAACATATTGTTAATATATAAAATATATTTACATACATATAAGGTTATTCGGTTCGATTTTTTTTCATAAATTAAAAAGACCATCCCAATTGTTCGGGACGGTTATACACTTAAATAAAAGTCCACGATTTTATTGAAAAAATAACATAAATCGATTTGATCGGTTTTTCATATTCTTTTTGACAGCCCTATTTAGTAGTAGGTCTAAAATATAATTTGTAGAATAAAAAATTAATATTAAGGATAAAATATAAAAAAATATTTTTCTTAATATATTAAAAGTGACAAATAAAAATAAATTTTATTAAAATCTATTTTTAAAATAGTAAAAGTAATAATTTAAGTGTGGTTTTGTACTGGTCAGTTTTGAGCTGTCGAGTGACGATTGCTCCATCTCTTAAGATAAACGATATATATATATTTCTCACAAAAAAATTGTGAGATAAAGAGCAGAGATTAACTCACCCATGGATACACCTCTTCTTAAAAAATTAAAAATACTGTTAATAAAGTATGCATTTTCAATTTATTATTCTCTATCCTGACTTATGTAGTACAACATTTAAAAAATAATAATTGAGAATCAATTTATAAATATTGATCGTGAACTAAAATATAAAAGTTTTAAACTCTTTTATATGAAAAATTATTTATTCAAAAATTACCTAAAAAATATTATAAAAATATGTTTCTGTCTCATTTTATGTGACACATTTTCTATAGTCGATTTCAAAAAGAATGTTAGGTTACTAAAATTTATCATTTATTTTTCAATGAAGTGATTCTCAGCCACACAAAACTTTAAGAATTGTTTTAGACTACAAATTTTAAAAATTCACCTTTATTTTTTTTAAATATCATATCAAATCAAAGACCGCCACGTAAAATGGATGAAGAAAGTAATAATTAACATATTTAAAAAATATATTAAACAAAAAGATTTAGTTTGGTGACAGATAAATTAAAATACAGGGCCTGTGATTTGACAATGGATGCAGGTTTTCTAAGCAAACCCTCTTTCTCTGTATTTATTTGAAATGAGTTACAAATCCTCTGATAACTTTTTGAATATATACAGTGAAAAAAAGAAAAAAGAAAATAAAAGCTCTCTCCTTGTCAAGAATAAGCAATTTCAGCTATGAGGTAACTTTTTCCTCTTTTTTTTTTCTTCTTCTAATAGTAAAATCCATTAAAGTTTAAAGGGGTTAAAACACTCCTTATAACATTATTAGTTGTGTGAATTTTTCTACCTTAAATTATTAGTTGTGTGAATTTCATATGGAACTATTATCTCGAATGTTTATAGAAAACACACTTCAGCTATCAATGGTTCACTTTTTATATTTGAATAATGATGATATTTCATATAGAAAAAGTGAACAAATGATAGGTTAGTTTTGTTGTGTTACAATAAATATTTAGGGATAGTTTTAGGCTATGTTGTTCGGACTCTTCAAAAATGGCAACGGGTGCGTGTCGGATTCGCCAAAAGTAGTGTATTTTTGAAGAATCCGAGACGGGTGCGGCATCAAAAGTGAAGAGTCCGCGTAACTAAGGTTTTAGGAAAACAAACTCGAGCAATTGATAGTTCAAATATAAAACTCAAAAAATTTGTAATATTCTAAAAGTGTCTTAACCCTTCACTCTTAGTTTTATTCTATAAGTTGTGTACTTAAGATGGAGTAATGCATATTGTTTATTCAAGATGTAATTTTTTTTTTTGGTGAACTTGGCATTGTAACTATGGTTTTCTTGAGCTTGCATGGAAATTGTTTTTCAATTTTTAGTGGATATATATTAACCAGGACAAGACGGGTTGCTCAGGTGATAAGCACCCTCCGTTGTCATCCTCATGGTTGTGGGTTTGAGTAACTAAGTGAGCAAAAATGGCGGAAGCTCCTATGACCGAGTAAAAAAGAAAGAAACTTTAGAGTTCAATGGCTCTCTCATTGTACAATTCCAAATGTTTAAGTTTTATACTTTTATAGATATATTTGCTATTTCTTTTTGGAAATGAGGGAACTTGGTGTAGCCTAGCTAGTAAAAAATAAAAAAAACTAGGTGTCGCATATATTTGTGCTGGTAGTTGGGAGCATGTAGAATTATCGAGATACGCCCAAACTGACCAAAGACACCAGTTTTATCGTGGAAAAAGGAAAAGGGGAGGAAAACTGAATGGTAAATTTAGTTCATCTTTGTTTGGTTTGATGAAACAAACAAAATGATGGTATTCATTTATCTGCTGCTGAGTTTAAGAATTTTTAAGATTATACAAATGATTTATACCGAGAACACATAGTAAGGAATCTTTTCGAAAAGCATAAAATGTGACAACAGATTGTGAGTAGATGATTGAATTCAATCTTGATGAAACTGCTTTCAGCATGTGTGTTCCTTGTTTCCTTATTTACACCTAGAGGTTAATAATTCTGATAGTTTAAAGAACTCAAATTACGTGTTCACGTTTGCAGATTTTTCTCTGAGACTTTTACAATCAAATTCTTCTTAACTTGCTCCATCAGAGAGAAGTACTAGAAATGGCCAAAGATAAAGTTGCAAGCTTAGGTACTGAAGTTTCCCAGTCAAAGCCAAAAATGGCTAAGAAAATGCAAGAGTTGAACAAAGAGCTGATTGTTGACAAGACATTTGTTCATATTCCTGGATCACCCTCTAATTTCATATTAGGTCCATGTTTTAAGACTGTGTTTCCTCTGGAGCTCTCGTCTCTTTACCCCTTAGCTGAAGGAGAGAAGCTACTTCTACACTCTGTGCAACCTGATTGGTTAAAAGGTAAGCATATGTATTCATGGCCTTCTAATGGTAGATCATGGATTGATTGGGTAGATAGAGTTGAGAAGGCCAAAGGGGAAGTCTGGAAATCAGCTGATATATATGATGCCATTCAGTTGTCGAAAAATGCTATCCCCAAGGACGAAAATCTTCTGTTTGCTGCCTTGTGCTATTGGTCATTCTCCACAAACTCGTTCCACTTCAGATTTGGTATGATGGGGCCAACAGTACTAGATATTGTTGCTTTGACAGGACTTAGGCCACATGGGGAGGAAGTCAGTTCCATTCTTGGGATGGCTGGATCGACTTGTCATTTTCCCCATCATGGAACAATTTATCATAATTCCATAGTTTACAACAAGTATCTTGACGTGTCCAAGGCAGAAACAGATGTGACACAGGAAGAACATATATCTTTTCTGTTTACATGGCTCAGCCAGCATCTGTTTTGTGACTCTTCTGTCAGCATGATCAAGCAATGCACAAAGCTGGCATTTGTTCTTGCTTCGGGTAGAAAGCTTGCTTTGGCACCCTTTCTCTTGTCTAATTTATATCATGGATGCACTGAAATCATTATGGGCAGGTTTATGTATGAAAGAGGTCCATTCTGGATCATGCAGTTCTGGCTACAGTCTTACTTCCCTGAATTCCGACCTGCTACTTTGGATAACTGTACTTTCCCCACCTATGGGTACCCCTTGGCTGAAGGTGTGTTGAGACGTAAATCATTCGAGGAATACTTCCGCTTTTTTCATAAATGTGCATCTAGAACTATCAGCCAATTCACCCCGTTTTCTTCTAGGAAGTTTGGACCTGTGTGGTTTCAGAAGTCACTTTATCCTAACTTCCAAAAACTTAATAAGCCAGAGCTACAAGATATTTGGGCCAGTTATCTCATTGCTCGAGACCTCCCTTACAGTATCCTTCTGGATGAATCTTTGAAGTGCAAATATGGGGTAGAACATTATTCTCCAAATCAGTTTGCCCGACAGTTCGGTATGACTCAGGCTGTCCCCTTCCACCAATCAGCCAATAAACTTCCAATTAGAAGAAAAGATTTCCAGTCTGCAGATTACACTGAAGAAACTGAATCAAGATTTGTCCAATCGAAAAGGAAGTTTTCATTTGTTCCATTTGATACTAATCCTAGCTCTACTGAGTTCTTTGATTCCTGGTGGTCCACTTACATCCGTACTCGGGACAAGACTGTTATTGATACCCTCAGGAAGATCTCAACGCAAGTCATGCTCCTCCATAATATGAAGAGGAAATATGAAGGTCTGATAACCTTCCTGATGAAACAAATTATAAGATTTCTATTTTGCGGAACAAATGATAGAGCCGTCAAAATGCATTTGACTTATTGGCGATTGTTGCATATATCATCACATTAGATGTTGTGATAGGTTTCAATGTTCTCTCTCATTTTTGTCCTTTTCTCAGTTTCATTTCTGATTCTGATTTTGAGGTCTTGTATTGCCTCCTTAATTGCTTTCAGGGGATAGTATTCCATTGCAATCTTCTGCTCAGCAAGATGAGCCCATACAACAAAAGAACTTGAATGAGGCAGCTGAAAAGATACCTACAACAACATTATGCAAGGTAAAAATTCCCACCCCCAAACAAGCCTCTGGGATTATAATGGTATGGATTGGCCTGATTCCTTCACTTTACCATTTATTGACTTTTCAGAAGACGAAGACTTACTCGAGGAAATTGTCACCAGGCTCAACTTCTGACATACCTTCTACATCAGCCTTCCCTACAAGTTGTACACCTGCTAATGAAGACAGGACTGAGGCAGACATCCAAGTTTCCGCTGTTACACCAATCTCCGCTTCTGACAAAGTAAGTTCCCCTTATTACTTCTGTTGTTACGTCCGGTAGTTGGTTACTTCATCTAATTTTGAGAGCCTTTTCTATTCAGGATGTCGAGGAAGTCACAGTTTCCCCATCCTTAGATAATACCAGAAGCAAGGCATCTGATATTAGTCAACCACCTGACTGTCCTTTGAAATTTGATAATCTAGAAGACTTCTTTTCTCGAGTTAGTGGAAAAATTAAATGTGCTCAATCTCTCGGTTTTTCTGCTGATCAATCTTCTCCCATAGATGACAAGAAATCCACCACACAGAAGTCTACACCGTCAGCAGAAATGCTTGCCACAGCTAAAGGTGATATTAAGAGATTACTACTCATACCTTCTCAAGTCATGCTTCTACCCGGAAACTGTTCAGCATTAAGCGCAGCACTATCAGTACATGCTGGGGCACCGGATTTATCAGCTGAGAGAGCGCTTGCCTTGGAGAAACTCAAAGAGAACATTCCACACTTTTCCTTGACCATGCGTAGAGCTAAGAAGGATCAAGAGGAGTATTATAAGAAGGTTTCCAAGCAAGTGCTCGCAGCACTATCAGTACATGCTGGAGTACCGGATTTATCAGCTGAGAGAGCGCTTGCCTTGGAGAAACTCAAAGAGAACATTCCACACTTTTCCTTGACCATGCGTAGAGCTAAGAAGGATCAAGAGGAGTATTATAAGAAGGTTTCCAAGCAAGTGCTCCTCATCGACGAGCTCACAAAATATCAAGAACTCTATACTAACCTCAAAGATAGCAACGACAAACTTGAATACAAAATCAGCAAGCTGGAGGCAAGATTGAAGGCTGCAAAGACAAAAAGAGAAGCAATCCAGCAGCAACAATTGAGTTTGGCCAAGAATTGTTCTGGAAAGTTTAATGCTCTTGATGACATGGAAGCTGAGTTACCTGTCCTGAAGGAGATGAAGGAGCTAGCTGATTGGGATGTCGCTCGATTGGAAGAAAGCTTGAGTGACTTCAAGAGTAAGATAATCGAGTGATCGCTTGTTATAAATCGTTCTTCATGTGAATTTGCTGGCTAGTAAGAGCATGTAAATATATTTTGCTATGTACTAACTTTCTCACTTTTGAATGGCATACCTAAGTATGGCCAAGCTAATCCAAACATGTAAAGTGAAACCAGTAGTGTACTTCTAGTTATGTTTTTTGGTGGCACAGGTTGATGGAACAATGAGCATGAATGCTTCAAAATAGCACTAATTTAGATGTGATGACATGGTACAAACTACAAAATGTACATAGCTACCCCTTTGATCTCTAATCTAAGTGTAGTTTCATTACATTTGTTTTTGTGTGAAGTATTTCTTCTACTGTCTTGGCAGTGTTATCAACTACTCTATCTGGTTTCTATTACCTCCTATAAATAACTGTTCATAATAAGAGAAATTAATAAGAGATCTGGTCTGTTACAACAACTTAAATTACACTCTATTTGATTTGGCATGTTTTTTAAGAAAAAATTAAAAGTTTTTAAAACTAGTGGTACTAATATTAGTGCGTAAATCAATTGTATACAAGATAAACACCAGGAAAGAGATATTCGTTGGGCCAAGAGCACCCTCCTTGAGTTAAAGCTTTCAGGCCTAGTTGACCAAAACGAGAACTTTTAATAATGGAAATATGACATTTTTTTTGGAGGGCTAAAAGACAAAATTGTTCACATAAATTTAGTCTGGTGGCAAATACTCGCTTGTTCAATTTTGACTTTTTACTTGTTATTTTTGACAAATCAAGAAAAAATAATATTTATTTATTAATGATATCCTCAATTTATTTAGAGAGTTAATATTTTTGAAAAAAAGTAAAAACTCTTTAATGAATAAATTGATTTTGAAATTCTATCAATTAATAGAAATAAAATAATAAACTCACTATATCAATTATTATTTTTTTAATAGGTGTATCAAGTAAAAAATAGACAAATTATTAGGAATTGAGAGAGTTTAAGTTAAAACAGAGGGGGCAATGATTTGACAGTAGTTACAGGTTTCTAAGAGCCTCACTTTCTCTGTATTTATTTGAAATAAGCTAAAAGAGTCTTTTGATAACTTTTGAATATAAGTTAAACAGTCAGAAAAAAAAAAAAAACCTCTCTCCTTGTCAAGAACAAGCAATTTCAGCTATGAGGTAACTTTTTTTTTTCTTCTAATAGTAATCCATTAGTTTTAGAGTTAAAATGGGTAAAAACACTCCTAAATTATCAGTTGTGTGAATTTTCTATGGAATTATTATGGAATGTTTATAGAAACACACTTCAACTATGGATGGTTCACTTTTCAGTATTTGAATAATGATGATATTTTAGGTAGGAAAGGTGAACAAATGATAAGATAGTTGAGGTGCGTTTTGATAAATATTTGGGGATAGTTTTAGGCAAGAAACTCACATAATTGATAGTTTAGATATAAAATTCAAAAAATTTGTAATACAAGTGTGCCTTTTAGTTTTATATATTCTACAAGTTGTGTATTTAAGTTGAAGTAATGTATATTGTTTATTCAAGATGTAATTTTTTTTTTCTTTTTTGTGAACGTTGCATTATAACTATGGTTTTCTTGAACTTGCATGAAAAATGATTTTCAATTTGTAGTGGTACATATCAATTATCACCCTTTATGGGGCAAAATGGGTTGCTCAGGTGGTAAGCACCCTCCATCTTCATCCTTATGGTTGTGGGTTCGAGCAACTGAAAGGGCAAAAAAGTGGAAGCTCCTACGGCAAAGTTAAAAAAAAAGTAAACTTTATAGTTCAATGGCTCTCTCATTGTGGAATTTCAAATGCTTTAGTGGAGTACTTTTATATGTATAATTTTGCTATTTCTTCTTGGAAAGGACTTGGTGTGGCCTAGCAGGGAAACTAAATGGTAGATTTAGTTCATATTTGTTTGGTTTGACAAAACAAATAAAATGATGATATCCATTTATTTGCTGCTGATATTAAGATGCTCCAGTAAGGAGGTGCGAGAGGTTGGATATAAAGGGTGCGAGGAGAGGTAGAGGTAGGCCAAAAAACTATTAATGAGAGGTTATTAGAAAGAACATGACACAACTCCACTTTATTGAAGACATGACCTTAGATAGGGGGTCGCGGATTACGGTGCAAGCTTAATAGGTGGTGGAGTGTTCTATTGCTTCCTGAAGGGTTTAGGCTTAGTGGTGTCTGTCATAGTAGTAGCTTTATTCTTGTACTGTCTTGCTTTTGCTTTCTACTGCCATCTATTTTTATGATATTTCCATTATTGCATTATTTTGTTGTTATTACTGTTTTTGTAGTAGTTGCTATATTTTCTACTGTCATTTTTCCTTTTCATACTTAATTTGATTGTTGTACACGAGTCAAGGGTCTTCCGAAAACAGCCTCTCTACTTCCACGAAGTAATGGTAAGTTCTGCGTACACTCTACCCTCCCTAGACCCAGCTTGTGGGATTTCATTGGTTATGTTGTTGTTGTTTAGACCGAGAGCACTTGATAAGGAATCTTTTTGAAGAGCATATAATGTAGCAGGCTGTTTAATGTGAGAACATATTGTGAGTAGATGATTGAATTCAATCTTAGTGAAACAGCTTTCAGCATGTGTGTTCCTTGTTTCCTTGTTTACGCCTAAAAGTTAATAATTCTAATAGTTTAAAGAACTCAAATTACGTGTTCACGTCTGCAGGTTTTTCTCTGAGACGTTTACAATCTTTTTCTTCTTAACCTGCTCCATCTGAGAAAAGTACTAGAAATGGCAAAAGATAAAGTTGCAAGTTTAGGCTCTGAAGTTTTCCGGTCAAAGGAAAAATTGGCCAAGAAAATGCAAGAGTTGAACAAAGAGCTGATAGTTGACGAGACAATTGTTCCTATTCCTGGATCACCCTCTAATTTTATATTAGGTCCATGTTTTAAGACTATGCTTCCTACGGAGCTCTCGTCTATTTACCCTTTGGCTGAAGGAGAGAAGCTACTTCTACACTCCGTGAAACTTGATTGGTTCAAAGGTAAGTATCAGTATTCATGGCCTTCTTATTGTAGCTTATGGATTGATTGGGTAGATAGAGTTGAGAAGGCCAAAGGGGAAGTCTGGAAATCAGCTGATATATATGATGCCATTCAGTTGTCAAAAAATGATATCCTGATGGACAAAAATCTTCTGTATGCTGCTTTATGCTATTGGTCAATCTCCACAAACTCGTTCCACTTCAGATTTGGCATGATGGGGCCAACAGTACTAGATATTGTTGCTTTGACAGGACTTAGGCCACATGGGGAGGAAGTCAGTGCCATTCTTGGGATGGCTGGATCGACTTGTCATTTTCCTCATCATGGAACAATTTATTATAATTCCTTAACTTACAACAAGTATCTTGATGTGTCAAAGTCAGAAACAGCTGTGACAAAGGAAGAACATATATCTTTTCTGTTTACATGGCTCAGTAAGCATCTGTTTTGTTACTCTTCTGTAAACATGATTAAGCAATGCACAAAACTGGCATTCGCTCTTGCTGCGGGTAGAAAGCTTGCTTTGGCACCTTTTCTCTTGTCTAATTTATATCATGGATGCACTGAAATCATTATGAGCAAGTTTCTTTATGGAAGAGGTCCATTCTGGATCTTGCAATTCTGGCTACAGTCTTACTTTCCAGAACTCCAACCTGCTACTTTGGATACCTGTAATTTCCCCACCTGTGCTACTTTCGAGGAATACTTCCGCTTTTTTCATAAATGTGCATCTAGAACTATCAGCCAATTCACCCCGTTTTCTTCTAGGAAGTTTGGACCTGTGTGGTTTCAGAAGTCACTTTATTCTAACTTCCAAAAACTTAATAAGCCAGAGCTACAAGATATTTGGGCCAGTTATCTCATTGCTCGAGACCTCCCTTACAGTATCCTTCTGGATGAATCTTTGAAGTGCACATATGGGGTAGAACATTATTCTCCAAATCAGTTTGCCCGACAGTTCGGTATGACTCAGGCTGTCCCCTTCCACCAATCCGCCAATAAACTTTCAATTAGAAGAAAAGATTTCCAGTCTGCAGATTACACTGAAGAAACTCAGTCAAGGTTTTGCCAAACAAAAAGGAAGTTTTCATTTGTTCCATTTGATACTAATCCTAGCTCTACTGAGTTCTTTGGTTCCTGGTGGTCCACTTATATCTATACTCGGGACAAGACTGCTATTGATGTCCTCAGGAAGATCTCACCGCATGTCATGCCCCTCTGTCCATCTGACAGGCAAAAATTTGCTGCTCCCCAGCCCAACAGTATTAAAGGCAATTCTGAATCTGCAGGAAAAATTGGCCAGAATATGAAGAGGAAATATGAAGGTATGATAACCTTCTTGATTAAACAAATTATAAGATTTCTATTTTGCTGAACAAATGATGGAGCCGTCAAAATGTGTTTGACTTGTTGGTGATTTTTGCATATACCATTGCATTAGATTTTGTGATAGCTTTCTGATTTTGATGTCTTGTATTGCCTCCTCAATTGCTTTCAGGGGATAGTATTCCATCGCAATCTTTGGCTCAGCAAGATGAGCCCATACAACAAAAGAACTTGAATGAAGCAGCTGAAAAGATAGCTACAACAACATTATGCAAGGTGAAAATTCCCACCCCCAAACAAGCCTCTGGGATTATAATGGTATGGATTGGCCTGATTCCTTCACTTTACCATTTATTGACTTTTCAGAAGACGAAGACTTACTCGAGGAAATTGTCACCAGGCTCAACTTCTGACATACCTTCTACATCAGCCTTCCCTACAAGTTGTACTCCTGCTAATGAAGACAGGACTGAGGCAGACATCCAAGTTTCCGCTGTTACACCAATCTCCACTTCTGATAAAGTAAGTTCTCCTTATTACTTGTGTTGTTACGTCCTGTTAGTTGGTTACTTCATTTAATTTTGAGAACATTTTTCATTTTAGAATGTTGAGGAATGCACAGTTTCCCCATCCTTAGATAATACCAGAAGCAAGACATCTGATATTAGTCAACCACCTGACTGTCCTTTGAAATTTGATAATCTAGAAGGCTTCTTTTCTCGAGTTAGTGGAAAAATTAAATGTGCTCAATCTCTCGGTTTTACTGCTGATCGATCTTCTCCCATAGATGACAAGAAATCCGCCACACTGAAGTCTAAACCGTCAGCAGAAATGCTTGCCACAGCTAAAGGTGATATTAAGAGATTACTACTCATACCTTCTCAAGTCATGCTTCTACCCGGAAACT